CCAGTCCAGGTGTCCCCTGCCTTCACCCAAAGGCAGCGAGGACAGGTTCCAGCCCCACCCTGACCTTGATTAGGAACAAGGAGGACAGGAGGAGGATTTTTCTTTATAGCAGGAAACAGACATTTAATTATAAAACAGGATTTATTTGATGTTAATCTGAATCAGTTTAGTGTTGTTTGTAAATATGTTTGACAGTTTTGTAGGAATGAACACGTTTGTAATGTTCGTTCAAAATAAACCTGCTTCTTGTGACTTGCAACGTTTTAAATAAAATATTATCAGTAAAAACCTCAAATCATGTCCTTTCTAATAATTATTAGAACTAGAAGAACTTTAACTCAGCAGAGTTTCTCCCAGGATTTTTTTAACCGTGGTGGTGACCTCTCATGTTGGGGTTTGACAAAATCTGGTTGTCCTCAAAACATTTTGGTTGTCCAAAAAATATCTCAATAAAAATGTAATTTAATAAGTAGACTATATTGTTCTGTTTACAAAGTGTAATATATACAAATGTTCTCAGTCAGCAGGTTGACAGTTTTAGGAGCTGCTTGAGGAGAACTTCYWCGTTCTCCTCCTCATCCTCTTCTTTGAAATAGAGATCAAAAATCTACATCCATAAGATTTCTGCTTACAGGTCTAACATTTTTATTTAAATAGGAGTACACTGTGTACTTATTAAAAGTTACAGTTTAGTGTTCTTAGGACTGAAGACTTTCTGAGGAAAGAAGTTTTTAAACATCTTTTATATAATTTTAGTGTTTTCAACTGAGGAGCTGTGATATGTTTATTTTAAAATAAATTATAGCAGAGGAAGTTCTCTGCACAGAAAAATTTTTTTTTTTGCGACAACAATTTTGCTGTTTTTTTAACCAAACTGACAAAATTCTCCATAAAATTATTGTGTAATTTAAAGGCAATGAAACACCTGGTTAAATTTAGAAGGTATTATGATTAACTACAAACATCTGAAGCTGACCCAGAGAACTCTGTGATTTTAGAAAAAATAAAAGTCAAATGTAGACACATCTTTAAAAGACCCTCCTCCTCCTCCCCACCACCCTGCGCAGCTGCGGTCAGCGCACCTCAACTCCACCCGCGTGATTAATACAGATTTTTTTGTGCAAATTACAAATTTTTGATGCTCATTATACATGTTAAACGTCTGAAGGAGTTGACATGTATGAACTTTAAGTCCCGGGGCGGGCTGGTTGGAGCTGCGCTGCTGCAGGTGGACGGGTTTGCTGCCCCTCGCTTTAAAATCTGTCGTGGTTTTGTTGCGCTCGTGACATGAACACACAGGGGAAATGCTGCGAAGTGCTTTTAGAAATATAATAAATATAAAATATGACGTAATACTCGGTGGAAAATAGTCCAGGAGAGGCGGGAGGTGTTCACCTGCAGCTGAGTGAAGGGGGGTGGGGGGGCGCCTGTATAATGGTAGGGGAAACACTGAAGTGGTTTATGAAATATTTTGCTAACAGACAAATGAACACACACACATGCAAGTAATTATCATCCATCTTTCATAGCAACAAGCGATAGAAGTTGATTAAAACTTTTACAGTAAGATAAGAAGGGGGTATCGATGCAGCCAGTCTTTTTCACCCCGGCCTACCTGTAGGTCATAGTACAGTGACGAGATGTCGGAGCTGGAGTGATTAAAGATGTGCGTCACTCTGGTCGGATGGTTGAGGTCGGCATAGAAGAACTGAAGGTGCTGACCCAGGCTGTTCCTTGTGGACACTCTGCGGCCAAGCCCATCGTAGTGGTAGACCACGCTCCAGCCTCCGGGGCCTCTGTTGTAGGCCCGGAGGAGCTGACCTTTGGAGTTGTAGTCAAAGACGTCGGAACCACGTTGGCTGAGGAAGCCGTCCTCGTCCAGGCGATACTGGACATCGCCCAGGCGGGTAATGCGGTCCCTGAGGTCGTAGCGGAGGGGCAAGATCCGAGCACTATTCCCAGGATTCAGCAGGTGGAGGTTTCCGTTTAGGTCGTAGCTATAGCGCCAAGTAGACCAGTCGTTAACCTGGATAAAATAACAAGTGTATTATTATTCAGTTATTTTCAATCTTTATTTAAACCAGAGATTCTTAACCTATGGGCTGCCTGCTTGAGGGAACAACAGTTTTTAACTTTGGGCCACAGAGGGCCGTGGGACCGCATTGATTTTGAATAAGGTGCAATACACTTTTTCACCACTAGTAGCAGTAGTGCGCCACTCAGATGTTTAACAACTTTTTTTAATACATATAAGAAAAACCTTAGATACCCGCCGATAATGGAAACCTATTTTAAATGAAAAGTAGAAGCAAAAATGTAGGCAACCCATCAAAAAAGGCCAAAGTTTGTCTCTAATAAGAAGAGCAGCTTCTGGTTCTACCATGCAGTATTTTAAAAGTTTAAAACATTATCAAATACAGTTGCAGAT